GAGGGCAGTGTCACTGGCCCTCATATGTGGGATCCGAACCGGGGCCCTCTGGCATCCCAAGTGAGTTCTTAACCATCGCGCCACTCGGCCGGCCCAAAAAGCAATGTAATTTTTAATAAAATAATTTTTAAAATTCCAAAGGTGGGTTCTAGTCATAGTACACAGGAAGTTTTTTTCCATATTTCTTGAGGTATAATTGAGAAATTAAAATTGCATATATTTAGGGTGTGTGACTTGATGTTTTGATATATGTATACATTGTGAAATAACTGCTGTAATTAAGCTAATATACATATCCATCACCTCACATAGTTACCCTTTCTGTCTCACTGGATCCTAGAAAGGATGGCCCAGAAATTCCCTGAAAAGGGTCAATTGTAGAACACACATGTTCTCATGTGACCTCCTCTCTGCTATTTGTCCAGTTCCTTGCATCGGTTAACAATACCAGCTGGGGGCCAAGAATTGCTTGAAATTCCCAAATTTTCTTGGTTGAAAGTTCACAGAACCCTTATCATCTCAGTAATTTTTTCATACTGCTCCTAGGCCAAAATAAATAACAGTTCCTTTAAACAGTTGAATCCAAACAAATTAATAGGTATTTATATTCTAACAGTTTATTAGCCATTTGAAAAAATAATGCACATTTATTGAAAACAATAATATTTTTATTAAACCACAGTTACCTACTAATGGGATGGGAATTCCTGTTGGGCATTGCAGTTTCTCAAACCTTGGAATCTAACTGGACACCACCACACTCATTAATTCTTCCATGTTTATTCTCATGTGGTACTTGCTTTTCTCAAAGCAACTACCTAAACGCCAGCTTTGCAAAGATGTGGCATCACTGGAAGGAATATAGGGTGATCTCTAGTGTTAGGGGCTTTTAGAGGAAGGCCAAACTAGAGGTCCCTCAGTCCCCAAGATGGTCAGCCCTTTTGGCTTTATATCCGAACAGCCTTTCTCTGTATAGTAGAGCAGCCAGTATACATGGGCTTGGAGTACCCCAGGTAACAGCCATCATACTATACCTTAACCAACTACCTTCTCCAAATGTACCAACTTTTTTCTTCCTTTGGGGTAGATACGTTCAAAGGGAACCCAAAGTTACTTCTTCATGTTTGGCCCTGGCACTTGTCCCACAGATACCTTGGTCTACATCTGAACTAATCACTGATGCCATTCAAAGGCTTTTCCCATGGCTCTGCGCTGACACTCAATAAATCAGTTGATGGAAATCAGTCCCGGGGTGGGGGCTTCTTAACACCCGGCCTCTGATTAGGCTCTCTTAGAACATGCAACTGCAGAGCTATTATGCGTGGATTTTCATCTGGCAAAATAAATATTTTAAATTTCACCTTTATGATACATTAAAAAATGGAGGTAGTCAGTAGCCATTGGGTATAGGATTATCAGCTTGAGAAAAGCAATAAAACAAGTGATAGTAAATGTTTCTAAAAATCACATAATGTTTATTGTGCTTATTGAGAGAGCAGTGGTAACCAGATGGATTTTGTAATGTGTGGAGGATGCTGTGATGTGCTGTCTAGATCCCTCCTCAATGAATGACCTGTTGTCCCAGCTGCCGGGTGTGTGTGTGTGGGCGTGTGTGCATGCATATGCATGCATGTGTATTTAAAAACATTATACAGTCTTGTGATGCATAATGACATTTTGGTCAATGATGGATCAAATGAAAGATGGTGGTCCCTAAGATGATAATGGAGCTGAACAATCCTCATTGTGTAGTGATGTCATAGCTGTCTTAATGTTACAGGGCAACACATTACTCACGTGTTTGTGGTGATGCTGGTGTAAACAAACCTACTGGGCTGCCAGTTGTATAAAAGTATATAGCACATGCAATTATGTATAGTACATAATACTTGATAATGATAATAAATGACTCTGTTACTGGCTTATGTATTTACTACACTATATACTTTTAATCATTATTTTATTTTATTTTATTTATTTATTTTTTTAAACTGGATCCTTGGAAAACTTTTTTTTTTAAAGATTTTTATTGGTGAATTGGGGGGATGGGAACAGTGCTGGGGAATTGGGGGAAGGGGAACAGACAAGTTGCTGTCATTTTGTTCTTCAGTCTAGTTGTGGAGGACGTTGCTTCACTGGCCCAAGTTGGCACCATCATTGCACTCTTCCCGGGCGAGGCAGATCAGTCGCCAGCTTCTGGACGGCCATCACTGCGGCTGTGGGCCCCTCACGCTGGCTGCTGGCTACGCACGGTAGCCCATGGCAACCCACTGCAGCAGGGGCTGCAGCCTACACCATCACAGGCAACCCATGGCAGCCAAGCTCCAGGTTGAGCAGTTGTTCAGCATCTTAGCTGTAGAGGGTAGTGTCACTGGCCCTCATATGTGGGATCCGAACCGGGGCCCTCTGGCATCCCAAGCCAGCTCTTAACCACCGCGCCACTCGGCCGGCCCTTTAATCATTATTTTAAAGTATACACTTTCTACTTATAAAAAAATGTTTGCTGTAAAACTATGCTGTGTTACGCCAGCAGCAGCCTCATACATCTGTTTACCACATCCCTTGATGGCATCATTTTCTCTTGTGCTTGATTTAATCTCTGTTGTTTAGATATACAAATACTTATCATTGTGTTACAATTGCCTACAGTATTCAGTGCAGTAA